GATAACATTAATAATTCCCAGATGTTTCTTCTCCTTATTAATCATGACGCACCAGCAAATGAAGGTCTCGAAGGCTTTCCTCCATTTACGTCATCACAGTCAACTCTACTTTGAGGGAGCAGCTCTTCCTTTGTCGTATTTTGAGAGCCTTCCAACCTGAGGGGCTCATCATCAGGCACCATATCAGACAGTGTTCCACGGCTACCCAAAAGGCTTTCACTGGCTAATTTTTTTTCTAAGTAGATCGCCAAGTCTTAGTTTGTCTTAGTCTAGAAACTCAGCTGAAACCTATCTACCATGGGTGAGTCTCTGGTGTTGGAAATACTGATGGCAATGCTTCCAACATCACAGCAACATGCAAACCACCACCATACAAAAAGTTGACACCAGGAAACCAAAATTTAAAATACAGGAAAGAAAGAAAAGACATCATTGGATGTCAGAAGAGACTCTGAAACTGGCTTTTGAATGTAGAGGAGCTTTTGAGCAACTGAAGAAATGATGAAGTAAAAGAACTGGGTAGACGATTTCAAAGGGGGATCTAGAAGACAAAGTATCATAATGAAATGTGCAAAGACCTCGAGTTAGAAAACCCAAAAGGAAGAATATACTCAGCATTTTTCAACCTGAAAAATAACTAAAGAAAAACTTAAATATTGATGGATTCTATGGCCAAAATATTGAAAAGTGTATTAAAAGCAGATTGAAGAAATACACATTCACTGTACCAAAAATAATTGGTTGACATTCAGCCATTTCATGAGGTAACATATCAGATCAGATCAACAACTGATGTTGTTGAAGGAAGAATTCTGAGCTGCACTTAAGGTATTAGCACTTAAGGAATTGACGAACACCAGTTGAAATGTTTCAACCAACTTATGCCATGTTGGAAACACTCACTGGTCCGTGCCAAGACATTTGAAAGACAACTACCTGATCAACCAATTGGAAGGGATCCATATTTGTGTGCATTCCAAAGAAAGGTGACCCAACAGAATGCAGAAATTATCAAACAAAATTATTAATATCGCATGCATGTAAAATTTTGCTGAAGATAATTCAAAAAATGATTGCAGCAGTACATCAACAGGGAGCAGCCACAAATTCAAGCCAGATTCAGAAGAGAATTTGGAACAAGGAAGACTGAAGAAGAACTGATGCCTTTGAGCTATGTTGCTGGTGAAGAGTATTGAACAGACCACAGACTTCCAAAAGTCCAAAAGTATGAACACGTCCATCTTGGAAGAATTACAGCCAGAACACGCCTTAGAGATGAGGACGAAGAAACTTGATCTCACTTACTTTGGGCAAGTTGTCAGGAGGGACCAGACCATGGAGAAGGACATTACTATGGATTGAATTGTGTCCCCAGAATGTATGTGTCATTTTGCCTAAGTCATGATTCTCAGTATTGTGTAACCATCTTTCATTTTGTGATCTGATATCGTTACCCTATGTCTTGTAAATCCTAACCTCTGTGATGTTAATGAGGCAGAGTATAATCTACAGGATTAAGTTACATTTTGAGTCAATTTCTTTTGAGACTAAACAAAGGACCCAACAAGAAAGCAAAGATCAGAGGGACCTACTACCACCAAGAATGGAGCACATTTTTTAGACCCAAGCAGGGTCCCTGCTATGTGGGCTTCCTTGACCCAGGGGAAGTTGGGTGCCAAGACACACAGAGATTTCCAAAGGATGCTAAGCCCACAGATGTTGAAAGGAAACAAGGAGCTTGCCCCAAAGCATAAAGAGCCTTTTCTTAGAGTTGGCCCTTTAGATTCTAACTCCTAAGCTGTGAGAGAAAAAAATTTCTGTTGAAATCATCCACTTGTGGTATTTCTGTTATAACATCACAAGATAACAGGCATCATACTTGGCAAAACAGAGAATCAGTGGAAAAGAAGATGAGCACCAACAAAAACAACTGGCACAGTGGCTGCAACAATGGGTTCAAGTATAGCAATGATTGTGAGGCTGCACAGGACCAGGTAGTGTCACACTCTGTTAAACACAACTCATTAACACCTAACAATAACAACAACAACAATACCATCCATGAACATGGTTGTTGTTGTTGTTATCAGGTGCCATTGAGTCGGAACCGACTCATACTGACCCCATGCACAGCAGAACAAAACACTGTCCGATCCTGGGCCAACCTCACTACCGCTGCCACACTTGAGTCCATCGATGATGCCACTTGGCCAATCCATCTCGTTAGGGGTCTTCCTCT